ACTTCTGCCCTCATACCCCACTGACTGCTTGTCCTGCTTTTTACCTGCTCTGACAGATGCCACACAGACACAGGTCACCACAGAGCTCCTGCAGGAACCTCCTGAAGGTATGTTAGGGTGATTTGGAGCAAGAGTTGGCCTGCTGCCATCACGCTCTCCACACACAGCATACTTTCTGAGCCTCCTGAATAGACACGCAGTCCCTCCGAAGCACATACTGGGAGGGGGGGAATCCTCCTTAACAGACTTAGATATTTCTTGTGATATTAACCACTGAAAAATTGGTTTCGGCCACCTGTTCTAATTTAGATACCCATATTCCCCTCTGTAGCAGAAAAGATGCGAATGCAATGAGTTCAGATATATGCTTATGTGTGTGTGATGTTGTTCTAGGCGGGTGGTGTCAGGCAAGGCTGAGTGAATTATTTCAGCCGTTTCTGAAGAGCTTGAGCACACAGAAGAACTACTTCATTCATAGGAATTATTTTTTTAATGAAGTTTTTCTGTGAATCTGTATCAAGAACTGAAGTAACACACAAATACTGAAGCAAAGAACAGCCTGGACAGCAAGAGGTCTGGATTTTATGAAGCAGTCTGCTCACTGTATTTCACAGAATTTGAGATGTTCTCAGAGTGGTATCCTTCTCAATATAAAACACACACATTAAAATCCCCAACCCCACTGCTTCAATTGTAGTTCCCCTGTTTCACAACAGCCTTTTAAATGCGTCTTCTCAAAGGCCCATAATGGGTATGGGAGAGGAAAGCTACTGATATGGTTGCATCCTAAGCCCGTTGTAACTTGATGAATCAGTATATTAGTTTTGAGTGGACTACAGAAAAACACATAGCCTAGTGGAGTGATCTGGATATGAGAATGTGGTGGTCTCTCCTTTGCTCAGAGGTGCAGCATTTGGTGCAAATTGCTTCTGCCTTCCCTCAGCTATAGTAATTTAATATGGAACTGACAGGTGCATTGATCACTTGGCCAGATCCTGTTCCAGACAGCAAGCAGACAGAAGATGGGAAAAACGCCAATCTGCCGTTTTGTAACTTACATTTCTTTTTGTGTGATGAGAAATGTCACCAACTTCTGACAATCTGGTTTTATTTGAAATCTACTGTATAACATACAGTAGGAAATGAGAGACGGTAAAAGATTGTTTTGAACTGAAATTATGTTTTCCTAGAGATTTTCACATAAGTTTGCAAAAATGTGGCTCGCTCTTAGTAACCAAAAGGATTTCACGCGTCATCTGATTTTCCTGTTTTACTTTCACCCCATAAACTATGAATCCCAGAGTATCAAAGCAGAGTGGATATGTAGAGCTATGATGGCATCAGTTTTACTTTTCTTTCAGTGTTTAACAGAGAAAATACTAAATTTTGGAATTTAAGAGAATCTAGCACTCCAGAATCCAGCAAGTTTGGTTCATACATTTACTTTTTATTTTTGGAATTTGTTTGCAAAATCCTTAGCAAATTGGGAATTTGTCTATTAGCAAATTGAAAATTTGGAATGCAAGGAAGCAATTTAAAGCTTCTTTTTGGAAAAAACTGGCAACAACCTGTTTTATAAATCTGACGGGCATGAAAGTCCAGCTGTGCACAAAAGCCCGTGGAGATCCCTGGCACTTCTGCTACAGATCTTCTACTGGAAAGCAAACACTTCTTACACCTTAATGTTTCCCAAAGCAGCCACGAAGTTTCCTCAAATTACTTTCTCCTGAAAAATGTCAGGTTTCTGTTGAACTCACAGGAGCCCAGCTTTCTGGGAAATTGGTTGTAGATAATGCTTCATGGCTTCAAGACCACTGGCCTAATAAGAATTCTCTACTTTTCCCTGATGGCTTTTCAGTTTATCAGTTACAAACAGAGAAGCATGCCAGTTTTGGAACTGATCCATACTTTAGTTACTTAGAACAAACTTTAACAGCAAAATGGAGTCAAGTGGAGAGAATGACAACTTTGTGAAGGCTTACGGTGACAACCTTTTTGCAGTGCCTCAGCCCAGCAATAAACCAGAAAGTACTGAGTTTAAAAACAAGAGTTCTGTCACTGTTTGAAGAGCAACATGAAACTCTTCTCTGTGCACATATATTAACAGATATCACTGCTGTGAAGCCATGCTAATAAAATTAGCTTTAGAAGGTAGAGAAAGGGCACAACACTAAGTTAACAAGTTACATTTCTCTTGAAATAGAGTAAATAGGTTGTATTAAGTTTTTTATTTCCAGTATTGTATTTCCCTAGAACAATAGTGGAGACCTAGAAAAGAACTGAAACATTTATAAAATGCTAACTTCAACTTTGTTTTACTCTCATTTTGTTTAGGGACAAATCTGTATGGTCTTTATCTCATCTTTATGTAGAAATAAATCAGAAGAGACCAGGTGATATAAGAAACTTCATTTCATTCACAAAAAATCCGTCCTTTGCGTTAGAAGGCCTGGAAGATAAAAAGTGAAGTGCATCTTTGCAGTCTAAACAGAAAATGAGCCTTTGAAACCAGTGACTTTTCTTTTTTTATCCCCTTAGCTGACAGAGCGCAATGAATAAATGAATACAAATATCAAATAACCCTAGAATGAGGATTCAAGCAGGACTGACTGTATAATGCCATACTTTCACAATGACTAAGCTGGCAGAAATTGGCACAGCTTCTGTAAAAAAAGAAGAAAGACTGACTATTCTTTCTTCTGCACACAACGATCGTATCTCATGCAATCACAGTGATTTTGACCCCGAACAGTTCCTGAGCTCTTTTTGACCAACAGAAATACCTACAGAGCCATGGAACCAGAAACACAAAGCCAGAGAAGAAAAGGGAAGAGTATGACCAATTCTTTCAGCAGCAACATAGCTTAAAAGTGATTGGAAAATTACAGTACTAGTTCCACTGTCTCTTGCAATATCTGTAGTGCTCTCTTAGATATCCATAACCAAGGGAGGGAAATGTCATGAAAGGTATCTGTCTAGTAATAAAGTGTCTTGGAGACTACATTCTCCAGGGCAACTTCTACTACGCTTTATTGGTGGGGGGGCGATGCTGAGGGTGCAGATCCCCTCTGGCAAGATATAACTGAACAGTAGTCTCTTCTTAACAGAAATAACGGAGTTAACTCATTTTTCATTTCCTACTGGAACCCTGGAAATAATGATTCCTTATTCTTGACTTGGTACGAAAAAGGTAAGAGGAACTGTTGTTTCTGTATTTTGGTTTAAATATTTATGTCAAAGATGATAGACTATTACTGATTTTGTAACTTATCATATGCAAAAGATATTATTTTTACCTTTTAAGGATTAAGAACAATTTTTCTTGGCAGGAAAACTATGTAGCAAACAGACATGATAAGAACATACTTGCCTTTCGCCTTTGTAATCTGTCACAGCCTTCAGATCATGGTAGTAAAATAAAGAAATGATAGCCAGATGGAGTTTGGTATTTATTTTTTATAGACTACATACGGAGGAAAACGGAAAATACATTGCTAAATAAATATAGATTGCTAAATTTTATCATTAACATACTGAAATAAAATATATATTTATCTGAACAGAATCCAGATCTTACCACACATTTATACAAAAGGATTGAATATCTCAGCTTGGGACTTCCCACATATTTAATTATGACAGCTTGATGTTCATGATTACCGTGCCAAAATTTAGGCAGAATTACCCCAAAACTCCTGGTCAAAAGGATTAACGTAGTGAAGCGTCAATCTAGGTTATACTTTTGAGCCATGCTGTAAAAGTTAATGAATGAAAGGAGCTACCCATTGAACCATTATAGTCAGTGTGACTTACTTCAAAACCTTTTAGGTTGATTTTCCTTACACTTCAAAATAAATTTTGAATTGTCCAAACTGCACCCAAGACATTTTTGAAAAGCGCTGGTAACAAGACCCTTGGACTGCAGTCTAGCTGGGAATATAGTTTTCATTGAACATAGACTTTTAATACATCTAAACAACTTTTTGTGGAAGGGATGCAGTAGGAGGTGGGAAAACTCATATCGCCTTAACATTTGTTTTTTCTGTATCTTTGGTCATCCAAATATTAAAGAGTGCAACTAAGAAAATTGCATTTTTTTGATACATCTCTTGTCATCTTTTATCTTCCAGTCATGCTGTCATCCTTTGAAACTTAGTCCAGAGTTACAACAGTTTAGTGTAACTAGCTCTAGACCCTTCTTTTCCAAATGAATATATTCTCCCTCTTTCTGAGTGGGAAAATTAAGTATTGGGCTGGGTAACAATGTATACAAGGTGCAACACATACATGAATTAAATCATATTGCCAACACCTTATACAAAAATGTTGTCTGGAATGCTGCTAAGGAAACAAGAGTTACCCAAACCACCCCCCTTCCTGTTCGAACAATTGTAGATTTTACTAAACAAAAATGATTCTGCAAATGTAGAACTTAAGAAAGTGCTCAGTGTGAGAAAAATTCAAAATTCCAATTCTCTCCTCCCAGTAAAATGCCCAACTCATCCCTATTAGGTGCTTTATGTTTGGGAGAGAAGTCCTTTTTCCTTCCTGGTCAAGCTGCTCCATTTACAATAATGGATGCAGTGCCAATTAAATTATACCAGTTGAAGGGAATGGATGGTTAGAGCACTTTCCTGTAGGTGGAGGAGACAGTTTTGCATCATCTTGTGGGGGGGGGGGGAAAGCCCCTTTCATTAAAAAAAAAAGTATAGAATTGGATCCTGCCCTAGTCAGTATTGTAACATCCACATTTTGTTTTTTGTGGATCTAGGAATAAGCAATTTGAGAACAGTTTAACAAAAATCAGCAATAAATCCAGAATGGCATATACTGCCTTCCAAATATTAATGTTTTTCCCCATATTTTTTAAATGAAAATGAAATAAAAAGAGAGCCACTTAGAGAATTATTTAGCTACTTGATTTTAATAAAATACTGTCACTTCTGATTACGTATGCCATGGGGGGGGGGGGGGGGGGGGGAACAAAACCCACACACAGTGGAACAGCAAATCTATTGCCCGCCTCAGTGTTCCTTAAAATTTTTCTTCTTGTGGCTTTTATTATCCCCATCCCCAATTTTTCATATCAGTTTTCAATTTACTGTGATTTTTTTTTTTAAAATATGGTGTCAAATTTAATAAAAAACTTAGCTGCCTGCAAGTGGAGGGGATGTACTCGGAATCTTCCTGATCAAGTACTGAGGCACAGGATGTTTCAGACTCATATTTTCAAAACCTTCTGTACCTTTTTTTGTGTGTACTTTTATCACATCCCCAAAGCAGCGGCACATTGACAGAGAAACACTGATCCAACCTAATCTAACTCTGGAAATAGTTCATTGAATTTGGGGGGGGAGGGGGGGGAATCATTGAAAGGGCACATAGATTTCAAGAGGAATTGCAAATATTTATGATTCAGATAAACAAATCCTGATGGTAAAGAAAGAATCAACAACTGTTTCTCATGCTGGCAATACATATTTATTGTCATTTTGGAGATAGGTTACCATGTGTATATCAGGACTTCAGACTAAAAAAATCGGGATTATGGACTCTTAGCAGATGCCAGTTGGAAATTAAATGACTGAATGTAAAGCTGACCTTTAGAAGATCTTCAGGTCTCTTTTTGTATGTGTCCCACCCTTTTTTTTTTTTTTTTTTTTTAATTAAAAGCTGAACATCTTCCCCTCCCACTTCATTTCAACCTCAGAAAAATAAATGATCATCCAAATGCAGCTTTTCCTAGTTTTACTAATGATCTGCTGGCAATCTCACAACATTTACATTGTTGATTCTACAACTTCAGAAGGAAGCTAACCTTTACAAACCATGTTCTTCCTCCACTTTACCTGGCTACTGAGTCCAACATTAAGGACTAGACTACAGCAGATTAAAGATTTGCTTATATTAGACTACTGCAGTTACATTATTATGGTGCAAACCTTCAACACAGGCGCTTTGCTGTTCTAAAACAAGCTACATCAGTGCAAGATCTGAGAGTCCGTGCAAAAGAAGCTGCAGTGCTATAAATTCTTGAAATACCTTTCCTCTCTCTCTCACATGTATTGACTAACAAATATCTTCCTCCCACTAATTTCACCAATCCCAAATACTACCCAAAAGAAAGATGAAGATATTTCATGCTTTTATACAAAAAACAACCAACCCCCACGGAAGAAAAAAAAAAAATCCTCCAACTCCAATTCCCCCACCCAAAAAAAACCCAGGTCAAAACTATTTGTTCCCCACCCTCTTCTAGCTTTTGTGTCACCATTAAAATAAATGCATACAACTTACTGTACAAATATGAAGCTGCAAGCATCCAACTTCCAGAACATACTGAAAATATTTCAAGCATAAAAAGTACACTTGATAATTGCAAAAATAAAGTTTCACTTTTTTTAAAAAACATTTTGATCAGAGCTCGAGCAAAACATTTAACAATTCCTACTTCAGTTTAACTTCATAAGAACACCACCTTCAGAAGTTAAAGACAAAAAACTCAGATTTTTGGTGATAAAGGAACTGACCATGTCTTTTAATGAAGAGAAATGGTATATACAACAATGGCACAGACCTTAAAGCATCAACAACATATTTCAGCCAGAAGTAAGTCTACAAGTGATCTGAGTCATTCTTAGCATCAAATGGTACTGATTACTAAGAACCATAATCTGCTAGGAATAGACATTAAGTTAGACTGGTACGAATGGAAGGAAAGATCCATGACATCAAATAGGCTCAGCTGTTGCCACTGAACTTTTTTTAGGCTAACAGTTTCACTAGTGCAAGACCATATGTTTACCTGATTAAATGAAAACTCAGAAATGTCACAATTTAAGAACACTCATACAAAACTATTTTCTTCTTTTAAAAAAGTGCCACATACCATACTTTTACTAAAAAAGTTAGAAACTAATGGAAGACTGTCTGCCTCCATCTCTTGTCAACAAGGAAAGGCCAAAGTGATTCTTTGATCCCAGCTCGAAATGGTGTTCTCTGACCTATCCCCAGCATCTCCAACTTGGAGCAGTCCAGCTGAGCATTCCTTGGACGAAGGGCACCCACAACGGGACAATCAGTAATCTAAAAAATAAACAGAAAAAAACCCAACACACCAACAAGTAATCAGAAATGACAGAAAAATACTTACTCTTATATATGCTCATTCAGAAGTTTTCCGTCATAGCTTTCTATATAGGTAACATCGCCCTCCTCCCTTCCAACTATTTTGTGGGGCTTTTTTGGCTTGGGGTTGGTTTTTGTTTGTTTGCTTATTTTATGGTTAACTTCTTTTCAACATAAGAGATGTCAGGCAGAGTGACGTGAAGTGTCTTAAGTTAAATTCTTCTCACTCAACTACTGCTCACCATTTATGCTTTTCTACGTTTTATTCCTATTTTCACCCTATGACTATAATCACAAGGTAAAAAATGCTCTAAAAAACATTGACAGAACCATGTCTTGATTGATACACTTGAAGAGAAATAGATTTGGGCAGAAAAAATTCAGACTAACTTAGTGTTCTCCATTCTTTTTCTCTCCATCTTCCAAGCCACATTTCAGTTCCAGCCTTTCCTAATTCAGAATCCTTGGAATTTATTTATAAATCTTATTTACATGTTATATTCTCACAACATTATCAGTATATCTTTAAGAGTAGTCTTACTTTTAAGTGTCAATAGAACTGCAGGACAGGTGTTCTAAGCAAAGCAAAAATGATGTAAAGTTCTTAAGTGCATGTATTCAGAAATAAATCTGGACATGGAAAAGTTCTTACAGATTCCTACCTTCAAGTTAATGTTCTGTCAATCTGTAAGCTTTTTTAAGGACAAAAATACAACAACAAAAAAACATGGTTCCCCTTACTCATGACTAAGGGGAACCATTCTGCAGAAATACCATTACGCTACAGACTGCGGAACTGGTTACTGACTGACTGGGTAATTTTCATAATTCAGCAGGTCAAAGCAGCTGTTGTTTTCCTGAGTTAGATACCAGACAGCATCCTCAGCAATAGATCTGCTGTGCTAGACATACTCACACAGATCATCCTGAAGAGGAAGCTTACTTGTATAGCTAGCATGAGACCTACTGCTTGAAACGATAGAGCACATCCATCTTTCTGTATGTCTGTTGAACACACATGACTTACTGGTCTCAAGTGGCTGCTGGGAAGGTTGAAAGCATCTGCAATTGCACACGCCATTTCATACTTAGTCATCTGTTCATTGCCAGACCAGTGAAACGTTCCTTTTACTGATGGGTCCTACAGAAGAAACAGGAAGCACAGGTGAAAAAAAGCAGCTAGCTAGCCCTCAGACTAATTCCTATGCAAGAACTGAGCAGAATAATCTTCCAGCAAGATCCTATCCTGAAAGACATGTTACAGCACCTCAATGATGTTCTGGAAATGTCTCGCACATTTTCAGAGAACTCTTGACCAGGGATTGAGACTGAAAAATGGTGTTACATATATCTGACCTGACTTTTCACAAACAGCTTATATTCTGTAGAATTAACAGGAGGGAACGGAGCAAGCCAACCAACCAAGGTCAAATAGCTGGTGAGGAGAAACTCTATACTATTCACTTTCTCAAAAACAAATGCAAAAGGCACCAGACACATTCTGAATGTTAAACTACAAACCACGTACAAGTCCTAATAAACTGATTGCACCATGTCCACTGTATGTGCATGGTCCATTTTTTTCAGTTATATGTACGAAAAATAAAGGTGGTTGGTTGGTTTTGTTACCTTGCAAAGGTGATAATCTGAAGGTGCTGTGGTGAATAAACACACAATAAAGTATTTCAGTCCAGTGGCTTTTTTTTGCCACCTCAGTGTTCTTAATAAAATAAACAAGGGCATCTTTGAGAACTACATTCAACCACCATGGGGTTTTTTTTAGTCGAAAATGCAAATTGTAAAAGGCATATTAGAGTAAGTTAGGTATTTGCATTTCTCTCCTGTATACTAGAAGACACGTGACAATTTTCAGAAGGATCCGTCCCATCACTTCACTTACTTTTGTTTCAAATATCAGAATATCCACACAGTCATGTAAAGATGCTGTAGTATTACAGCTAGTTCTTTCCTCCCTCCCAGTGTTCCAGAAATGCAAAGAATAATACAGATTATATGCAGTTCTCAGTTGTTCAGAAACAAAGCCAAGAACTCGAACTGTTTTTCACCTTGAAGAAGCTTCTTTCTTTAAATTCTTACCAGCATTCTCTTCTCTGCTAGTTGTCTGCAAACAGTTGCTACATCCTTGACGTTAGTAGGAAATCTTTGTTGCCAGTGGTCCATGTTGGCAGATTTATTACTGAACTGCACTTTATCAAACATAACAGTCACAGCACTTTCCTCCAGTCTTTCTACCTCTCCATACAAGACAGGAATCCTAAGTACAGCAGCATCTGAAAGAGAATATTTTAACAAGTATTAACCTTGTTATGAATAGGTATGAATGCTGTAGCATAACCTGAAAAGTGTTTTGGAAGTGTTAAGAAATACGTTGGTGATATTAAGCATCTAGAAATCACAAAAAAAACGCAATTTTTATGTTTGCCCTCAGAATATCATTTGAATTTCTATCAATTAAAACAGTTTATAAACACTAAGTTTATAGAAACTTATTTTCATTTATGCTACTGATTTCTATAAAGTTAACAAGCTGTCATTTACACTGCAAGAGAAAAAAGAAGGCCTGTTTGGGTTAGAACAAAAATTAAAAAATTAAAAAAAAAAACCAAAAAAAAACAACCAAAACCCAACTGCACTATGGAGTTACTCCAGCACTCCCCATCCTCCCTGGGTAAGAGCAAGAACAAAAATTCCCACCAATCACAAATCACCATATTGAGGCATCAGTTACAAAGATTTTTTGCCCAGCATGCAGAAGCCTCCTGCATAAAGGGGGATGTTATTTACCAGAAAAAAAGACATGAACATTGGAATGAATAAAAAGCTTGACAAATAAGGAATAGGTTCACAGAATACAGTAGTAAACAATATCAGATTTCAAGATTGCGATTTGAGAAGTTAACAGTAAACAAGTGCAAAGAGAAGGATATTTTATGATGGAATATATCGTACTAGCTTATCTCAGTCATGAAGACTCAAAAGGCCTCTTTGAGAGGAAATCCAAGAAGGCTATAACAAAGTCATTAAAAGTAATAGATATTTTTACTTAAAGGAAAAAAAAACAAAATCAGTCCTGAAATTAGAAGTGGAAGTCACCACAACATTGCAATTCTTAAAGATTTGTAGGAAAATGCAATAGCTATTAGAAAGACAAAAAGAAAAAGCTAACACAAAAATTATTCTCACAGAAAAATAAATGGAAAGAAGTACTTACACAAGAAAAACAAATACAATAAAAACCCCAGCATGACGCTGATTTCCTGCTGCTCTAAAAACAGTTATTTGGTCACTCAGCAAATACGTTCTTCCTCTCTTTAAATACTGCCTGAAATATCTCCCTTTTAATATCTTTAGAAGTATTCATTATTTGAGAAAAAGACTGCCTTCCTTTTTTTCTGAGAGAGCTATCTGAGACTTGGAGAGCATTACCTGAAGACCTACTGCAACTTTTTCATTTTATAAACACAAGTACTAAATATAACGTGTATCCTCTCCCAACCAAAGTAAAATACATTTTAAAAAAATATGCAAAACACCAAATTATTAGTGGAGATTCTTGCATTATACAACAGAAACGGGCAGGGAAGTTCTTCACACAACTACAGACATTTGATAGACTGAATTCTACCTATACAATATTAGCAAATTAGCAGTTGGAAGACTAATACGTGTAAAATATTTATATTTGTATGAAACAACAGAATTGACATTTTCAACCATCTTACTCAGCACCATGTCGAAATTCCTTCTGCTAATAATACCACTGCTGCAACCCACTCCTGCCTGACAGATCATGCTCAAAAAGGTTATGAAATAAAACTCAAGCGTTCAGTTGGGGGAAGGATCTAGCAAGATACCCACACGTACTTGAATTTGGTGCAGTCTTATCTTCATTACCAGACTAGAAGAGGGAGCAAATAGCATCACAGTCAAATTCAGAGATAATACTTAAGAAGGAGGTGGAGTGAATAACTTTTTATTTAAATTGATTTTTACTTAGTAAGACTTGTCCTACCAAAGTATTTTTTAGAAAGGCTATTTCTTACTAGTAATGACAAACCTGTATTAAGGCAAATTGGGAGTCTGAGGCCTATCATTTTCAAATACAGTATATATTTACTTACTGAAATACCATCACACTAATTTATCAATTGTTCAGTTCTCTGGTTATGCAGAGCAGAATCACAGTGTGAGTATCATACTGACATGACAGAAGCCTCTTCCGCAAGTGCACTGAGATTATTTTCTTCAAATTCTTTGAGCAAATAGAAGTGCTTCTTTCCTCATAATCTGTGAATGGAAACTGACAGCATACTAACTAGAGACAACCAAATCTCTCTTTTGTACAAGAAATAAGTTTTAAATGCAAGGGGAACGTGTTCAGTCCCAAGCTTTTTTCCTTTATTAAGTAGAATTTTTTAAATTATGTTTGTATATTTTGAATACCGGTTTTCATTAAGAAAAGATTTAAGTAAAAAATTAAAAAAAAAAAAAATCAGTTGCTTAAAACCAGAACTATGTTACTAACCCTTTAGAAAGTGTTACAAGCAGGAATCTGATGTGTGTGGTAAGCTAGGTGGGTAAAAATAAAACGGATGGCCTGATGGCTTATGTAATGAGAGCAAAACAGGAGATCAGCAAGAAAACCAAGAGAATAACAACAAAAGCCTACGTTGACTTTATCTGCATTATTATTTAATCACCGGTCTGTTTCTCCCTTTAAGTAAACATACATTTAGAACAATTGCAATGCATCCCCCTAAATAACAGCAGCTGTATATTAAGTGTGGCAAAGCTTGTGCCATTACAATATATTAATAATGTATTTTATCTTTCCTTAGGAATAGTTGATGCACAGTAGACAAAGGCTTGTGGATGTCCATCAGCAGAGACTAGTAACACAAAGATTGGAACAAGTAAGAAATAAAGCTTCAGTCAACCTATAAACAGTAGGAATCATTTATGAGCAAGGAGACTGCCTCCTGATCACATTCTTTTCTAATTCTCGTTTCCATGGTTTTGCAACTTTACCACTGACTTATGAGCCTATTAAGCTAAGATACAACTAAGTAAAAACAGAAAGCCTCTATTAAAAATGGGTGAGTGTATTCTTACCTTCATTATTTTCCAGGACTGCCTTTTCACCCTCCAGTTTGGTTTTACCATATAAATTCAGGGGATTTGGTACATCCGTCTCCTTATAAGGAGGGCTTGTTCCATCAAATACATAATCTGTACTAATGTAGATCAGAAACGCTCCAACTCCAGCTAGGAAGAAAATATTTATGCATAGTCTATTTTAATTCATGCCTTGTTTGAAATCCAATAAACCTTTTAAACAAATCTCCAAAGACCTTGTCTTCTAGCCCCATTCGTTCCCCTGCTTTGCCTGTTCACTGATCCTTCACGCAGACATGCATGCTACCCTTACAGAAAATGGACTGACTGCACACTGATCACAGAAATGACATTCAGCTCTGAGTCATTTATCTGTATTTATGTTCCTGTATAAATAAATGCAGTATTTTACCAAGAAACCAAATCCATTAGATGGTCTCCTTACCTGCCTCTTTTGCTAAGTTCCCTGAAGCAGCCACATTGAGCTGAGAAGCAGCATCTGGTTGACTTTCTACAACATCTGGCCTTCTCTCAGCAGCACAATGCACTATAACATGAGGCTGGAAATTAAAGACTAATTTTAAACAACAAACATTCTCAAGAGATTGCAGTTGCACCCTAACTCTAGTGATGAACTCCCTCAGGCAAAAAGGCATTTCACCAAGTTGTGAGAAGTAATAAAAGTAGTAGTAGTAGTATTTTTAATCGTGGCATTCTGAGGAGCAGGTTTTCCTTAGGAAGTAAAATAGAACCATGCTGCTTCAAGATTTCATATTAGAATACCAAAAAACCTGAGCATTAATTTTGCAATTATGATCTTCAGCAGCTTCGATTTTACAGCAAGATAGAAGTTGTTGGGTTTTCTTCTTTTTAACTCAGTATAATAATATAATATAATATATATATCACACACACACATTGGTACTTAAAAGAAAAAAACATTAGCCAAACTATTTTTAGATAAGCCATTTACACATGGCTTATTTGACATATGCAGACTATTAACAAGATATTTAAAGCCACTTTATAGAATGGCACCCTGCATCAAGTATTTCAGGTTTTATATATTCCCCTCGCAAATCAGATTGAAAAAACAGCAAACTTCTTACTGCACTGCATGCTAGACATGCAGTTACTGCTGTTGTATTCAAGTATTCTTCAGCTTTGAAAGAACCACTTCATATTACTATGTCAATAACTCACATTTATCTTTTTCTTTCAACTGTCAGTGCGAGCGTGCTGACATGTACATCTGTTACCTGCAGTCTGCCTATGGTGATGATAGCAGAGTTCAGAACTATCTGTATCCAGAGAGCAAACCTACGCTCTGGATGTGGCAGAGAAGGCAGCCATATAGCTTTTCAGAGCTCTGCCAAAGCATTAGCCCCACTAAAGCCACATGAACTCAGTATCAGAACAGCACCGTCAGCTGATCACTAGATGTATAAAGTACCCTATCCATCTACTTCAGACTCCAGAAACTTACCTGAAAATCATGGATAATGTCATGAACTGCAATAGAGTCCAGAAGATTAATCTGTTCAAATCTGGGCTGAGCTCTCCTGTATCCACAGCCAACTGCATTCCAATTATTTTCATTGAATTCTTTAAACACAGCTCTGCCAAGAAGTCCCGTAGCCCCAGTAATCAAAACTCGCCTACTGGGAATATCAACATCTTCCTAGGGAAACGAGAACAGGAAAAGTTTTCTTTATACTGTTGTTTATTGCTGTTTTTTCTTAAGAAGTATGCTAGGCTACGGTCAGTGCTACTGTATTAGCTTTCCTTGCCACATGAGCGTTTTGGGGTGTCTCACGGAACACAAACATCTGGGAGCACCAATACTGTACCTAGTCAAGTATGTCCACATATTTTTGAAGATACTGAAAACAAAACTTAAATGGGAAATTCATTTACTTCTACAACAAGAGGAGAAAACAAACCAAACCACTAATGAAGACGGAATTTTAAGTTCACTCAAAATCTGATAATTTTGTGCAATTCGAAATGAGGGAAATAACTTCTTTTGAAAATGGACCCAAAATATTTAAGATTTAGGGTCCACATCCTGCAACAAATAATTTTGGATAGACTGTGCCTGTTAGAGGCTGCAGCAATACATTACAACGCACTGTGGCCCTGTCTACAATGGTTGTGAGAATTGAAGGCTTGAATTTTATTATTAAATAGAACAGTAATTCATCATTATTCAACACAATAGTCTCATAGTAAGTAAAACCAAGATACAGCTCTCTCTTCTCAGTTTTACAAAACGCATCTGAAAGCCAGTTGATAATTTAAACTCTCAATCTATACAACATACTAAAGCTTTACGTCAGCTACCACACATTTCAGTACTTGAGACAGTTGTGTACATCAGTTCATGCAAAGTTCATTCCTCTCCACCACTCACTAGACCATCAAGTTTTCAAGACAGCAAATATAAGATTCATGTCTGTCTGTGCAATCTTTACTTTCCTTTCATGCTTCCCTTCTGCACGTATAATGGAACAAGAGCCTGCTAAAAACAAAAATAAAAGCATATGCTTACATGCCAGCACAGAACAGAACTTCAGATGTGCAGACTCCATAAATCTTGGGTTTCCTGACCACTTTATACGCAAGGACAACTTGTGATAATTGATTATAATTTTGGAAATGCTCTCTACTACGCAATTCAAATAGCCCAGTCACTTCTTACATTTTCAGCATTCTAACAGACTACTAGTTTTTGATTGCAGCACAGGAAGCAACAGAAGTCGCTTCCAAATTACTGTCTGTCTTTCCCCCTTGAAGTTAAAAAGCTTTTGTTCCATAAGGGCATATGCAGAGGTTCATTATGGAAACAGCCTATCCCACAACAATTGCTTGAAGTTCCCAGCACGCTGCATGCGTCTTCCTCAACTCTAAATCTTCAGGCAAGGGTGACTTATTCCCATCAGTACTGGCTCAAAACTAGTAATTTATACCTGGACGGTTTCCTGAAAATGACAAACTACAGCAAGTGATGTTTTAAAAAGTTACCTTTATCTTTACAGTCAATTTGAGCTCAGAACACGTTTGTTGACAATTTTTTAAGGCTGCCCACATTTCTATGAAAAGCATAAGCAAGAACATGCAAGTATCGTTTTCTTTTTTTGTTACGTAGTTTTTATCTTCACAAACTCTGGATAGAGCACCATAGGACACGTTATCAGCACTCCTGTAGCCAGAGGGTACCCGCTAATAAACATCAAAGACTTGCTGCAGAAAAGAGTTGAAAGGTTCTCTAAAAACTTCACAGAAAATCTTTAGAAAGTGACCAACGCAAAAACGTGTCATTTGTAAAATCTGACGTTTTTAAACGTCATTCATCTAAGTTTGTTTATTCTACGCATCATAAAGAGGATGTTACATTAGCAGCACAGCTTGAACGGAACACGGTCACAACTTTTACCAAGTACAGTTTGCATCCTGTTGCTCTTGTCTGCAAGACATTGATTTTAGTCACCTGTTTCTGAGAAACCAAGGTAAACGATAGATGTTTCCCATAAGTTCAACACAAAGCGCCTACCAGTTCAAACGTATTTCACCTTGCCAGAAGTTGAACGTTCTGGTAATACAAAACCTGCAGAG